ATAAGGCACGTTTGTAGACCATGGCGTGCTTTAATGTTTATTTGCAACATACATTTTGAATGCATACCACACAGCAAATTGACCCAAAAATACTTAAGGATAACAAGCAATACTTACGCTTTCTGAGAAGCTACAACGACGGCTGCAGCCCGGTTCATGTATGATGAACCTTCTCTTGTTAACTTCACTTCAGCGAGTGCTTCACAGTCATCTAGAATTTCCAGTCTATGCTTATCAAAGTGTAAAAAATGTGTGCCTCAGCCATTGATGAACAAGAAGCTACAACCATGCAAGGTCACGTGAACCACCAACCAGAATGTAGTAGTTTGAATCGCAGCATAAGCCTTATTGACTCGTCATTTGGTAGCTCTACGGTTTGTGTGATGTGGTTAGATCCTAGGCTTAACCGGAAATCACATCTTTCGCTGGCACAGCTGCTGGCGTCAAAATCAAAAATATAGTTACGCCGTTTTTTAACTTCGAACAAATTGGCATACCAGCCGTGTGTGAACCCCAAACAACGCTACAAAATACTTTTATACAGAAGCAGTGTGTCCCATTTAAGTGACTGGTTCATACTAGCTGTCTTTGTTGCTTCAGTGATCGATCTCAGAGAAATGTCATCAAAATTCTAACAGGCATTTTCGGTCCGAAATACTTTCTCGTAATCCAATGATAGTTCAGGAACGTCAAAATACTTCGATAACAGGTAATGGTTTTTTGAACCAAGGACAAAACGCTTTTGGGCAAAAGGGCTGCATATGCAGTATAACATTTTCTCTATTAAATGTTGCACGCACTCAAACATACAAAAAGTGTACTTTCGCATAATCCAATAGTAGCAAATCAAACGAAGGGAAACTTTAAATTATAGCAATGTCTTCCTAATTAAGGCTACCTATCAATGTCATTAAACGTTACTTTTTGCGTTATTGGAGTAGAGTTTACAAAGTGTGCGGTGTCCATGCGGTTTCACCTTAATCTATACTTTCGACTTGGCAATAGCAGGTGTGCCGAAAAACGGTATAATTCGTGGTAAAGCGTGTGATTTAACTCCTTTATAAAATTCAGTACAGTGGCCAAAATAACGAGTCAATTAGGCCTATGTTGTGGCGCAAAATGTATGCTTCTGTTTGGTGGCTTATAAGACTTCAAGGTTTCAACAGCTTGTTCAGCATTGGCTGAGGCACATTTGTTTACACTTTGTAAGGCTTCAAACCGCACATCGAAGTGAACTTAGCAAGTAAAGGTACATCAAGCATGAACCAGGCTGAAGTCGTAGATGTAATTCCTCAGAACCCGCTTTTATTTTCAAGTTTTCAAGTGATTTGAGTGAGGTCTATTTATTCGAAAATTATTTTTCAAATAAAATAACAGACAGTTTTGTTTTTCAAAAATGCGTTATGCTTTTAAGATGTATCCTGCCATACATATTTAAAGGATAAGAATTGAGGCGAATATTATTTTCCCAGGAGAAAG